TGCTTTGGGATGTTGTCTTGCATCTGGAAGATAAGTAGAGAAGTTCAAAGAAAGGTTATTCTACTTATGAGTGTTACCTGTGGAGGAATCGTAAAGTGAAACCAAGGTGATTCTGGTTCAGGTTTGGAAAGAACTTGTTGAGAACCCGGGTCGATTGGAATCTCACAAGGAAAAGGAGATGCAAAGATCAAAGTTTGCATACTGCTAAAATTCGACAAACGTTAAAAGCAAGAAAATGTGAAGAATGGTTACCTTGTTTCTGGTTGATGCGATGGGAAGTCTTAATTTCGAGTGGTTAAGCTGAAATCAAAGAGCATGAGAGATTAAGATATGCAGAACATAAAGGAAGAAAGGTTAAGCTAAGACATCACGACAAGAGGACGTCATTGAGCTGGGAAATTGTACCTTAAAGTTCTGATGGTAATGGAGAGTTTGGCACAGGAAAAGGCAGTAGAATAATCAAGGAAGAGGGCTGTCTCGATTTCAAAGTTGGTGGATTTCTACTTGAGGTTTCGATTGCTGCAAAAGAGAGAAAATCAAAGTGAGTGTTATGGAACAAGAAAGGCAGTAGCGAAGAAGTAGAAGAATCACAAGAGATGCATACCTTGATCAAGTAATTGCATCTAGATTCAATTTGAAGAGATGGCTCTGGTTATGAAGGTTACGAGCCATGACTAAGGGAGACAAGCTTCTACTGTAGAAGAGAGGTCGACGGCGACAGTGATACTCACCAGAAAATCGCATCTAAGGAAGATGTTATATCGACGATGTCGATGATGATGTCGGGTCTATTGGGCATCGCGAGTCAAGAAAGGTTAGGGCTTTTGCTTCATATGACAACGACGGCAGAGGAATCGCCGGAGGCTGCAAGGATGGCCGGAATTGCACATGTCGTGGGTCTGTTACGAGAACAAAGCAAAGGAAGAAAAGGTCACATAGATCTCATGGCGTTGTCATCAAGAGGAGAAGGTCTCGGTTGGTTTGTAATCGCGAAGGAAACCGCCGGTGAAGAAGTTACGATGGTGGTCAGAACCATGACGGAGAAGAACGCCGGAGAAGAAGATGAATCTGAGAAGAGAGAGACAAGCAAAGCTTCGACAAAGGAAAGAAGATTTTTTGGTTTTGGTCAAAGGTGGAGATTGTGAGGTTGACCAAACCAAACCAATTTATCTTGGGCCAAAGCTAATGGGCCTAATTACATGAAGAATAAAGAGAAGAGAGAATTGGGCTACGACAACATCAAGCCCATATGATGGAAACGTGAGAAGGTCTTAGGGTTAGATACATAGATGC